CTGTTGTGCCCTGGGCCTTTTTCCAGTTTCTCTCCGAGCTGAGGGTCAGGCCAGGCCATCCTGCTGCCCTTCCCTGATTGCATGAGACGAGTGTTAGAAAACAACTCTGGAATCTTTTTCGTGTGGGAACCTGGTTCCTTGTGGGCTTCTGACCCTCATTCTTTTTTTTTTTTTTGGTTTTTCTCTGGTACTGGGAACCGAACTCACGACCCTGCGCTTGCTAGGCAGGCGCTTTGCTGCTGAGCTAAATCCCCAGCCCCCTTCTGACCCTCATTCTGAGCTGCAGAAAGGGAGGACGCAGTGACGGTTGGTAAAGAAGACAGTGTCTGGTTGACCCTAGTGTTTCTGTACTATTCCTGGATCATCTCTCCCGCCCTGGGAGGGAGAGGGTCCCCTGCTCGAAGAGGCTTGATGCAGGAATTCCAAAGTTACGCAGGATGCAAGCAGGACCCTGGCATCCTCAGCCCTCAGTGCCCCGGTCTACTTAGCCAGCAGCGTTGCTTCCTCTGTGTGCCTCTCCCAGCCTGCCCTTCTCCAAGGGGATGTGAAGGGAGGCTGTAATATAAAGCCACTCGTCTGGGGACTGCTGGCCCACGCTAGTTGGACTACAATTGAAAAGCTGTGGCTGATTGGTCGGTTGGTCTATGTCTGTCTCTCTGTCTCTGTGTCTCTCTCTGTTTCTCTGTCCTCCAAAGTAAAATGGAGATCACTTCCTCTCCATGAAGTAAAATGGAGATCAGTTTATCTGCCCTTTCTACCTTACCCTGCATCCACAAACAGGATAACAATACATGAGTGCCAGTGGCAAAAAGCGCCTGCCTGGCAAGCTCAAGGTCGTGAGTTCGGTTCCCGGTACCGGAGAAAAACAAAAAAAAAAAAAAAAAAAAAAAATACATGAGTGCATCTGATTGATTGATTGATTGATGGTACCGGGAATCGAACTTGGGACCTTGCGCTTGCCAGCCAGGCGCTTATGCCACTGAGCCCTGGTGTGGTGGTGCATCCCACTGGGAGGCTCAGGTAGGAGAATTGCAAATTCAAGCCCACCCTGGGGAACTTAGAAAAATCCTATCTCAAAATTTAAAAATAGCTGGAAATATAAATCGGTGTAAAGGCCCTGGGTTCAATCTCCAGTATCACAAAAAAAAAAAAAAAAAAGAGAAAAGGTGTTGTATTTTATAAATCTGAAACTATGAGCCTTTAGACTCTTCCTGAAACCTATCTTATCACATGAATTTACAGCGGAGAGAATCCTGATGGATAGGAATGCAGGTGTATATGAGCTTGCACATGACCGTGTACAGGTGTGCTTGGCCAGCCAAGTGTGAGTTTACTTTTCAGGTTGACGGTAAACGGATAATCTGAGCAAAACTTGTCTTCAGGGCCTGTGTCAAAGTACGTAGGTGGAAACCTGAGGCCAGCAGGGCTGTATTTGCGAGTGTCCCGGGAGCGTGCTTCATGACTGGCTTTTCCTCCTCTCTACGATTTCCTTCTAGGGCTTGTCCTTCATATCTGATGGGCTTGGGGCCACTTAGCTGTCTCGGGTGCTGAGCTCTGGGCTGAGTCAGGAGGCCACTGTGTTCCTCAGTTTGTTTCGTTCCTACACGAAAGGAGAATTAGTTCCCTTTGCACCCGTGTCCATCCTGTGACCCGCCCCTATTTTTAAGTGAAGAAGAATTGTCTTGGGTCACATATAAAATGTCTAATATACTTTATGTGTATACATAACAACCTTTTTTTTTTTTTTTTGGTCTTTTTGAGACAAAGTCTCCCTATGCGGTTCAGGCTGGCCTTGAGCTCACTTTGCAGCCCAGGCTGGCCTCAAACTCACAAAGATCCTCCTGCTTCAGCCTCCCAAGTGCTGGGATTTCAGGCGGGCGCCACCACGCCCGGCAAGTAACAACCTTTTTTAAAAATTATTTTTTATTATAACATTGATGAAAGACCCCCTGCCCCCAGCCAGCAATAGTGACCAGTTTTCATGACATATTTGAATATGTGCAAATGACTGCAAAGAGACAGCAAGTGATGCGGGCTTGTTGTTCTCTCCCCTTGGTGTGGTCCAGATTCTGAAGCATCAGGCCTTGAGCAGAGCTGGGCTTCAGATGCCACCCCAGGGTCGTGTCAGACCCGCTCCGTGACAGTCTGGTCACCTGAGGAGGCTGCAGCAAGGAGCCATGCGTCCTGGCGGGGTCTAGCTTCAGGAAGTGTTTGATGTGCACAGGGCTCACCTGGACTGTGGACCCCTTAGCCACGGATGAAGAGGCAGGAGGCCCAGGGATGCTTGGTGTAGGGGGCCAGTCCTTGTCACAGGAAAGAGTCATTAGCCATCTCTTTAAGAATCAAATCCTATGTTTATTTCAGATACATATTTGTATTGGTAATGAAGTTTTGAAAGCGAATGTAGAGAAGCGTACAAATCATAAGCTTACCACTGAAGGGCCCCACGTAAGCCAGGTCCAGATCAGGAAGGGGTGCGTGAACAGAACCTCCTAAGCCTCCCGTGACCCCGCCAGCAACCAGGCCTCTCCTCCTCCTCGCCGTCCGGGCTCCGTCCGGGCTGTTTTTTGATTGTGTTTGCACAGAGCTACCAAGTGTGCCCTCCTGCTTCTGGGAGCTTTTGTTCAGCAGGGTGTTGGTGAGATCTGTCCGCGCTGTCGTGTGAGCTGTAGGTCTGTCCTTTTTGCCGCCACATTGGCATTCATTTGTTCTGTTCGTATTCTCCTTCTCTTCCTGGGTACATGGGCAGCTGGGTAATTTTCAGACTTTGGTTCTGGTAAATAAAGCTGAAAACGAATAATCGTACCCGCTCTTCCTGACGCGGGTGGGTTTATACCTAACCGCAGCATTTCAGGTACATTTGCTCGGCTTTCTCCCGTGCGCTCGTTTACTGAGCACACCGTTGCTGAGAGAGTCACTGTGGGCCCAGCTCTGCCCCAGCCTGAGCAAGACCTGCCAGGCGTGGTAGGGGAGAGGGTGGCGACAACGGGCGACTCTCTGAAGAAGTAAAGACTTGAAGGATGGGAGCAAGCCAGCCAGGTGAGGCGCCTGCAGGAGTAACCACCCCAGGGTGGGGAAAGGACATGCGCAGGACGCCGGTGGACATTGCTGCTGGCTCAAGAGTGGCCTGGTCAGCAGAAGAAGGTTCAAGTCAGCCAGACCATATCCAAGCTAATGAAGTCATGGTTATTTAACTTTTCTCCGTGGGAGGCAAGAGGGAAGGCCCTGTCTGTTTTCGTTTTTCTAAATAAATGATGGCAGAAGAAGGAGCCTCACAGTGAGTCATTTCACAGCAGCCTCCAGGAGAGGACCAGGCTGCAGGACGAGGCTGGGCGCTGTGCTGTCCGTAGCTGGCCCCGGGCCTGGCCTGCAGAAACCCGTGGGCTGTCCACTCGAGGGAGTTGTCTGGATATGTTGCTAGGGCCTGTGTTTTGGAAACCAGCACTACCCATCAGGTTCCTGGTTTTTAGCCAGTGACTCATCTTCCCTGGACCCTGGGGGTCCGGATTTCCAGGCGGAGAGTTTGCCAGACGTGGATGTCACAGCAGAGTGACACCTCGAGGAAGCAAGGCGGGCTGCTAGATCAGAGGGGACACTGCAGAGGGGACACTGCAGAGGGGTAAGGAGAGGGCTGAGGAGGAAACGGCCTGGAGCAGTGGGTGCGGCTCTTGCCAGCAGCTTCAGGCCTCCGTCCCAGAACTGCCACGCAGGAGGCCAGGCTAGTGCGAGGCTTTGGGGAATGGGAGCCACATGGAGGCTGCAGGCTGGACCGCATCCTCTGGAGAGTCCTCTTCCTGTGTTGCCTTGTGTCTCGGTCTTAATTAAAATGGCCTTGTTAGGAAGTTTTCTAGCCCTGGTGAAAATCTCTGCTGACCACAGAGCGGCCCCCGCCATACGGAGGAGGAGAATGTGGAAGGACTCACTCAGACAGCTGCAGGGCCCCAAGGAGTCCCCCTCTGCGGCCCGGCTCTGCGGCGGAGCCCTGTGGCTAGTTGGAGTCTTCGTGCTCTTAGCGAAAAGGGCATCTCCTGCTTCTCCAGCCCCATGTCTCTGGCAGCCCGTTCAGAGCTTCGATTGATGGTTTCCGGGGATTTCTTTCCACCCTCTGATTTTATTAGTGAGTGAAGAAGATAAAAGGCTCCTCTGTATTTAATAAAGTTAAAACCACCCCTGGAATGGAGCAAGGCTGCAGCCACCCACTGACTTCCCCTCTGCCCGTCTCACCCCTGAGGCCCTGAGGCGCTGAGGCCCTGGAGTTGGGAGGTACACTCTAGTGTTGCCCTCTGCCACTCTTCCTGCTCGCCTCTCCTTCAGAATCCAAGGGCTGCCCCCTGGACGTGGGTGCTGAGACCTGTTGCTGTGAGTTCCCCGTTCACAGTTCCCGTGAGCATGCCCTTCTGGTTCTGTCCGGCTGGCTTTGCGCCATCTGCCCGCTGCCTGTCAGGCTCCCACACTGGGCAGATTCTTGTCTTTGACTACGAAAGTAAATGTCTTCCCAGTTTTCTTTCTTGATTGTTTCTGCGTTAGTTCTTACCCAGGTCTCTGTTTCCTAATGCCGCTCACCGGATACATGTGAGATGATAGAGCAAGTCTGGTTGCACAGGACCCTTTTGTCACCAGGAAGGTATCTTCGTCTGTGTTACCTTTTTTTCATTCACATGATCTGACTATGTTTTAAAAGTGGCTCTGGCACCTGACTTGTAAGAGGTAATTAGCCAGCACAGCCCTGCAGCCTACTAGGGGACCCAGGTACTTTTGTTGCAGTAATTAGAAATCTGGTGTCGTGGAAGATCGCTTTTATTCTTGCTAATGGTAGCAGCCAGCTCCCAGCCTTCTTGGAAGGGCTAATGAAATGCTCATTTTAAATGCAAATTCTTTGCACGGTTAGGAGGAAAATGAAATTGTTCTGGCTTCCAGCACTCGCTCTGCATTTTTGCCATTCCTTCTGATGGCCGAGGGGAGGGCTCATGACTAAACCCTTTAGCGTCTTTATTATGATTTCGGATTTGAACTTGCTGAGAGGGAGCCTTGGCCCCGGGATGTTAACTCTCCACTGCCAAGGGACAGCGTGTGGGTGCCTGTGTGAGGCTCCGGAGAGTTTACACTAGTCCTCCGTACGCCACCAAATGCTCTTCGGATTCTGTAGAGGCTGGACGTACCGGGGAACGTGTGGTGAGTGGAGGGGTTTTTGCCTTTTTTTGCAGCAGATGAAATGTGCTAAGCCCTTTAGGCTTTCTGCTTAGTGGCAGCAGTTTGTGCTGCTTCCTCCCAGCCTTAGCACGTTCCTGTGGTTCCCGCTGTCCTGTTTTTTGGGAGTCTCCTCTCACTTGTAGCCATCTGTGGCATCCCTGGCCTCGTGCGTGGTGGGGAGGAGCAAGCTCCTGGGCAGCGTGGCTGGGAAAACTGTTTTCTTTCTTCCGCTCTTTCAAGGAGACAGTGCCATGACAGACGTGCAGGGCAGTTTAGAATTTTAGAGCCGGGCGAGTTACAGGCAAGTTTTCCTGAAAGTGGGAGTCTGGCTTCTAAAACAGCTGCAGTATTCTGTGGTTCTGGAGACCACTGGGCTGCGTGTGAAGGGTCCAGCCTTTCAGGGCCGCCCTCTCTCCTGGAGAGCTGGGGGCACAGCCAGAGGCAGAGTCACAGTGCGCTTTCTTTACCTGGGGAACGGTGGATTAGTATTGGCCTGAAAGAGGGGGTAGTGGGCTGATTTATGGTTGCTGAGTATTAAGAAAATGCAAAATCCTTGTATGTAATTCAGTGTACTTGCAGCTCTGCCTTTTAAATTTTATGGCAAAGCTTTTTTTACTTTTTGGCTTATATATTCTTGTGAAGGAGAAAATATAATTCAAGATGATATTTCCATGTCTCTCTTTAGTTTATGGACTGATTGGAACCTTAGGGTTTAGGCGTTGGGCACTGAGTTTTAGAAGGAGACTTTGGAGCCCAGGAGCTCTTTGCGTTTCATTTCTGTGGACTCTGTGATCATCAGGGACTCTGGGCGGGTGTGACGTTAAGAAAAAAGCTGCCTTCAGAATCATTCTTCCCAGTGCAAGCGTCACAGGCCTTCGAGAGCATTGGTGCAAATCCCCCCTGGGAGACGCTGGCTTCAGACCTGGAGTGCTGCCATATAGGAAGGCTGCAGAATGACTGCTTGGATCCAGTTTAGCGGTTGCAAAACTTCTGAAGCAGACCCATGTCTCTGTCTAGTGACAATGAACAAAGACCCAGTAAGGTCAGGCGATGTGTCCAGGCCACCAGGGGAGAATGAGGACTCAGGCCTTTGCCCCATCCTCTTCCTGCTTTAATCTCCGGATCTCCCTTTTTTTTTTTTTTCTTCTTCCTGTATCAGGAATCGAACTCATGACCTTGCGCTTGCCAGGCAGGCGCTGTGCTGCTGAGCTAAATCCCCAGCCCCTTTTTGTCTTTTTGAGACAAGGTCTCGCTATGTAGTTCAGGCTGGCCTTGAGCTCACTTTGTAGCCCCGGCTGGTCTCGAGTTCGCAACGATCCTCCTATCTCAGCCTCCTGAGTGCTGGGATTACAGGTGTGCGCCACCACTCCTGGCAATCTCAGGATCTCTTACCTCCCCACTATTGAAAGTTTGGCTGGATGGTTCATTGTTTTGGAGGTTGTCACGTGCATCATAAGATGTGTAGCCTTGTCCCTGGTCTCCACCGTGTAGATGCTGATAACTTACTTGCACTTTCTGCCCTTCTCCTGCCTTTCTATTGCAATGGCCAGAAATGTCCCCAGACACTGCCAGATACCCCTTGAGGGGAGAAAAATGCTCACTTCTTTAGGTACCCATGATGTTGCTTGGGATTCTGGAAGACAAATTTAACATTAGAACGGCTCCTTTGTCTTTGCTTTGGAATATAAAACACACAGCTGAAGTCCCAGTGTTTCCTACAGCTTTCCCAGTAGCTAATACTACCTCCTCGTTGGGGTGAGTTTTCCTTTGAGTACATTTGATCTTTGTTTCAGTTTTAAGTCTTTATTTTCTGGTTTTAGGTGATAATGATACTGGCTCTGGAGTTGTCTGCCCTGAGCCGTTTGTACTTCTAATTTTTGCAGCTGGGTGTGTCTGGGGCGAAGTGTATGGGTGGTGGAGAAGCCAAGGAGTTTTTGACAGTCTGAATGCCAGTGAAGAGGCAGGTGCCTAATTTATAAACCTTGGGCCAAGCTCCGCAGAGGATACTCGCCACCCTAACCCACCTCAACGTGTGTGGGTAGATTTAAGGTGACTGTGGACCTCTCAGTTAAGGAACGGCTCTGGGTGACTTGTACCATATAGATGCAAAAGGGCAGCGGGGCTTAGAGCAGGGCCAGGAGAGGTGGGTTCTGTACCTGGGGCTGCCACCGGCTGTCTTGGTTGAGTCATTACGTATATTTGGTGAGTAGGGCTCCTTCTGTGTAGATGGAAGAGCAGAGACAAAACTGCTGCTGCCTGAGGAAGGAATTCAGGTACAGAAAGTGTGTTTTAATAGCCTACATAGTCTTGGTTCTAAAGGTACCAAATGAGGAAGCCAAGGTTCTTCTAAAACTGCTGCATACTTTGACAAGAAAAATCTATTTTTGACTTCCGATCTACATTTATGACCTGAGTCAGGTAAATACACCTGGTTTACTTTTTAAACATTTTTATGCAGACAGTCTGTTATGCACTGTGGTTTCACATGTGCAATAATTTGTACAATGGATTATTCCCAAGTATCCCTTAAACAGGGCAGATGTTTTTTCTATATAGTTTCTTGCCTTGAAAAATACGTAATATAAATTTAAGCAAACTTCTATTTTGTACATTTGTAAACTACAAAGTAAAGAAATGAACATTTTGTGGAGTTTGTCTTTTGTATACTCAAGGTGAGAAATAAGTTTTAAATAAACCTATAATATTTTTTCTGAAAACAAAAACAAAAACAAAAAAACCTGCTGCTTCCTGGGCAGGGGTGCTGCATAGTGAGCGTGGATTCCTGAAACCACAAGATAAATCTGAGACATCTTTTTGGAGCTTTAATTTTGCTCAGGGAATATAGAAGAGAAAAACTTACTTTAATGTAAAAGTAAATAGGCACATACTCAGTAAGTACAACATTTGCATAACATGAACCTAAGCAAGAACACAGAATCCCATAAAAGAAATGTGGGAAACCCATGCCGGCTATGGATGGCTTTCCGATGCCAGGTGCCCCACTTCCCCCTTTTGTCTTGCATGGAATTCTGGCCAGAGACTGAGACTCCCTGGGCAATACAATCTCCAGAGTTCTTTCTGCTTAGAACAGAAAAGATGCATGTTTGGTGTGTAATCTTGGGTAAGTGGGCATATCCATCCCCAGAGAGGGTCTTAGAAAACACAGAGAATAATCAAGGTTATGTAGTCTTCAGATATTGAGATGCTTCAAGCTTCCTTTCTCTTCTTTGGGGCCAATCCCAAAGCTCTTGGCTTCCATTCTGGAGTGTGAGCCCAGAGCCACAGCAAAATGAAGAGTGAGCCTCATTTTGGTGTCATCTCCTCAAGGTGTACATGGTCTTACCTCAGTTTACCCTGTCTAGGAAACATGCCAGAGGGGTTAGCATGCTGATTTAAATTACTTTTCTTTTGTTTTTTTGTTTTTTTGAGACAGGGTCTCCCTATGCAGTTCAGGCTGGCCTTGAGCTCACTTTGTAGCTCAGGCTGGTCTCAAACTCGCAAGGATCTTCCTGCCTCAGTCTCCTGAGTGCTGGGATTACAGGCATGTGCGCCCCACCTCCTCCTGATTTAAATTTCTTAGAAATGCTGCTAACAGAAAAGTGATCAGGGAATCAGTGTGAAAGTTAAAACTTCTGACATCCCTCATACAGCTGGGATTTACTCAGCTGGGGAAATTTAGTATGTTGAGATATTCTACTACCCAGTCTGTCTGTATCTGAAATTACTCAGCATCACGAAGGAATTATCTTTCGGTCTTTATGTTTGTAGTGATTGTTCAGAAAGTACTGTTGAGGTCCTTCTCTGGGACACTCTTTCTGGTAATGTGTGTGTGCTTTTCTCAGAAGAACCAAGGCCAGGCCTTGGCAGAGGAGCACAAGAACTCCTAGAGACGAAGCCCCTGTTGAGACAGCCGCTGTGGCCACCGTTTGCCAGCAGTCGCGTTGTGCGAGGTGACGTTTTGTGTGACATAAGAGAGAATTTATAATGTTTGGGGCGAGCAGGAGTAGGTGGCAGTGGAGGTTTTCTTTGTCTTTTCTTGGCATATAATTGAAACAGAACTTGACCAAATGAGAAACATTCGTGTGACGGGAAAAGGGTTCCAGAGGCTTCTTAACTGGGCTCAAATATTGATTCCTTATTTTACTTGGAGTGAGGAAGCAGACTGACTCCCCGTCTGAGAGGGGTGTTGAGAACATTGCCACTCTTACTTGCTCCTGAACAAATGCATTTTCTGACCTAGGGAGCTATGCAGTTCTGGACCGTGTAGCACACACGATGAATCAGAAGGAAAAGTGTGTGGGGTGAGCCATCTCAAAGGATACATGGCTTTGGGTGGATTTTTAAATTAGCTTGTTTTTCAAGGATTCTTGCCCAGAAGAGCTTCTTCTCTTTCGCCTCCTCCTGTTGTTTTTCTGGGAGCGGGCAGTATTGGGGATTGAACCCGGAAGCCCCCTCCCTCTTTTAATTTTGCAACAGGATCTTGCTAAGTCATTAAGTTGCCCAGGCTGGTCTTGAACTTGTGATCTTCCAGCTTAAGCCTCCCAGTGTGCTGGGATTACAGGTGTGCACTAGCACACCTGACTCAGAAGCTGTTCTTTGTAAGGTAAAAGGCATTCTCAAGTCCCAAACTTTTAAAGTCAGAAGCAAAGGAGCATGGAGGAAGGGAGGGAGGAAGAGAAAGGGAGGAAGGAAAGGAGGAGGTTCTGGTTGTTTGGCCACTGGGAAGCAGAGCTAGGCGGACAACCCACATGCGACTGGATATTTCGCATTGCTAGAATGAGGCAAGAAAAGCCATCCTCTCGCTCAGGCTCCCGTGTGCTTGGTTAGTTTTAGAATCTGCTCTCTGAGATGCACGTTCGTAGACCTTTGAGCCTGTGCCGCCTGCTAAGGTGTCTGCTGGTTCCAGGGAGGGTGTGATGGTGCAGGTGGTGAGGGGCATCCCTGCACCCCAGCAATGCAGTGAGAACCATCTGGTGTGAGGC